TTTATTATTATACTATTATTTTTTTTCTAATTTTGCTTGAAATTTGGTTCTAATGGCATTTACGCCTTTGTGTTTTTGGTTATTCTCCACAACATATTGTAATGTTTTTGGACAGTTTTATAAAATTTATTTGCTTTATGCAAACTTATTCTAATTGTTGATTTTTTAAAAAAATTATTTTAGTTTGGTATATAATCTTTATTGAACTTATCCATCAGAGTGGAAATAATGTCTGTACAAAACCAAATGTTTGTTACTATAACTTCTGCATCACAATTAAAATTCAAACAGTTTTTTAAAAACAGTCAACTCAATCAAAACTGGCTACTTCAGAATCAATAGCTTCTTTGAAGCCACCATAACTCTTAAATATAGTTAAGACTTGAATGCAGAAATTTGGTTGGTTGGAAAGCTAATTTAACTTCCAACTTGCTCAAATAGAATTACAAAAAGGCAAAATTGTGTGTTTTCACAGAGTTACAGTCCCCTGGAATCACCAACACTGGACTGCTGTTAAGAGTATTGGAGTCCTGAGATAATAAGGAATCCAGGCATCCTTAAAACAGTCTTCTGTTGTTCTTTCTTCCCAATCAGCGATTTGTGGGTATGTGGGATGACACCACCACCAGCAATTGTAGCCTTGATGAGAGAGTCCAACTCTTCATCTCCACAAATAGCAAGTTGCAAGTGACCAGGGGTGATATGCTTTACGTTTCTGTCTTCTGATGCATTTCCTGCCAATTCAAGTACCTCTGTGGTGAGGTACTCCAGGATAGCTGTCATAGTCCATGGCTGGTTGTCCTAGATTTCAGGGAACTGCAAGCCAGCTCTCTGAGGGATCGGGAAACTGCCTTTGTCTTGGCCTTGTCGGAGTCCTTCCCAGTCTTACCACCAGCCATCTGGAATTCTGCTGAAGCTCAGACAAGCAAGGCAGAGAAAAATGCAAGAAAAGGCTAGTCAGACACAAAGTGAGATCCCACCACCTACTCCTTCGTGGAACCACAATTCAAACTGCCTGATCTTTTTTTTTTTTTTTTAACATTAGATTTCTTCTTGTGTTAAATTGGTTTGTAGGCTCACTTAGAGTAGATTTTTTTTTTTTTTATTTGTTCATCCTCCCTGTCTTGTCCCTCCTACTTTGTTTCTCCACTCCTCCCTGCCTCTTCTGCCCCTGGCATTGCCTTCCCTTTCTCCTTCATACTTCCTCCTCTCTCTGCTGAATAATTTAAAATTTATATTTGGCCTCAACCTAGCCCTCCAAGGTGGATTTGGAGATCCAGTATCCTCATGGTTCCAAGTTATGGTGTTGCCATGGTTTTGGGGATTTGATAGAGCCCAGGCAAGGCTAGTCTCAGCTTCAGGTTCCAAGGCAGTAGCTGTGTTCTGTTGTAGCTTTAGGCTATATTTGCTCAAGGGAAGACCAGCTATCCTAAAACAATGAGCCTGGCTCCTGTGTTTGTCAAGAAACCATTCTCTTTTACCCCTCAGGGCTGAACTCTTTCTAGTCCAACATATCTGTTTCTTCCTGTACCTATTTTATGTTTGTGTTCCATTTCTTTGCTCTGTGGGATTTACTTTGTATTGTATATCTTTTTAAAAAATATATATATTTTTTTGTAGATGGACACAATACCTTTATTTTATTTGTTTATTTTTATGTGGTGCCAGGGATTGAACCCAGTGCCTCACGCATGCTAGGCAAGTGCTCTACCACTGAGCCATAACCCTGGCCCCTGTACCCTACTTTTTTTTGTGTGTTATAGTTTTCTTTTATATTTTGTCAGTATGTTTGTAGTAGAGGCAATTTCTGGATTATTATTATTTTGGTGAGGGGGTGCTGGGGATTAACTCAAGGCCACTTGACCACTGAGTCACATCCCCAGCCCTATTTTTTTGTATATTATTTAGAGATGAGTCTACACTGAGTTGTTTAGCATCTTGCTTTTTACTGAGGCTGGTTTTGAACTCATGATCTTCCTGTCTCAGCCTCTTGAGCCGCTGGGATTACAGGCGTGTGCTATCGTGCCTGGCTATAATTTTATTTTTTAATATACATATATTTTTTTCAGTTGTAGATGGACACAATACCATTTATTTATTTATTTATTTATTTATTTATTTATTTATTTATTTATTTATTTATTTATTTATTTATTTAATATGGTGCTGAGGAAGAACCCAGCACCTTGCATGTGCTAGGTGAGTGCTTTACCACTGAGCCACAACCTTAGCCTGCAATTTCTGGATTATGAATTAACTGATTCATCATTACCTAGTAGACATCTCTACAAATTCTCTTGTTCTAATTTTTTTCTTTTTCTTGATAGTTTCCTGTTTCATGCTTGCACATAAATTTTCTTATTACGTCTTAAGGTTTTTAAAAAAAATTATATCTATCTATCTATCCATCCATCCATCTTTTTGCAGTACTAGGGATTGGACCCAGACCACTGCACCTGGTAAGCTGAGCTCTACTATGGAATTATATCCCTAGCCCTTTTTTATTTTGAGACAAGGTCTCACTCAGTTGCAGAGGCTAATCTCCTCCCAGGTAGGTAGGAATATGGATGTGTGCTGTCATGCCTGACATCTGAAGGGTTTTTTTTTTTTTTTAAGTCCTCTGTTCTTTCTCATAGTAGTGCCTTTAGTAAGTCACATTTATTGTGAGTATTCCCCTTATTTTGAATAAATTATATATCTTCATCCATTTGATGATTTTTCTTTTTAGTCTTTAACTATCTCTCCGTTAAGTAGCTCATGTAGATTGCATCATATATTCTGTAAATAGTAGTAAGATTTTTTTTTCAGTTTTAGGTAAAAGAAAAAACTACATTTATTAAATTTTCTTTTTGGTTTATTTAGAAGGCAGTAAGTAGTTTGTGTGTGGTTGAGATGGAGCTACAGGTAGTGTGTTTGTCAGCTTTTCATTGATGTGACCAAAATACCTGACACAGACAACTTCAAGAAGGAGCAATTTGTTTTGAACTGGCCACTGTAGTACATGCTTATAATCCCAGATAATCAGTAGGCTGAGGCAGGAGGATCACAAGTTTGAAGCTAACCTTGGCAAATAAGCAAGGCCTTCAACAACTTAGTAAGACCTTTCTCAAATAATAAGGGCTGGGGATATAGCTAAGTGGAAACACCCCTGAGTTCAAACCCCAGTACAAAAAAAAAAAAAAAAAAAGAAAAGAAAAGAAAAGAAAATTTTGCTTTCAGTGATTTTCGTTCATGGTCAGTTGACTCCATTGCTTGGGGCCTGAGGTGAGATGGAACATCATGATGGAAGGGTGTAGGGGAGGAAAGCTGTCAGCTTATGGCAGTTGGGAAGAGAGAGAGTGTGTGTGAAGAAAGGGGCCCAGGTCAAGATATAGTCCCCAAAGGGTATACCCCTGTGGCTGTTTCCTCCAACTGTACCTCACCTGCCTTTAGTTTCCATCTCCTTCTAGTAGTCCCTTTAAATGATTAATTAATCAAATTAATTAATCCACTGATGAGGTTAGAGACCTCATTATTCAGTCACTTCCAAAGCTCCACTTCTGGACATTGCTGCGCTGGCGACCAAGTCTTTAATATATGAGCTTTTGGGGGACATTTCAGATCTAAACCATAACAGGCAGAGCCATTGTTGAGGCTTTCTTTGTTCAGGAATAAATTACTATCTATGCATATTCTTTGAAAGCCATAAGCTGCCCCCTCATTCTACTCAACACCTGGTGAAGGTCCCCAAAGGATTCCACTCCTAGTCATTTTCCATTTCACTGAACTTCCTTCATATCTACAGCATAAGTATAGTGTAATGCAGTTTCTGCTTCTCACAGTGCCAGCCATGAAGGCCCAAGTAAGGCTGGAATTTGTGTCCATCTTGGTTTCTATCCTTATCTCCTGCCGTCTACCACATTCAGAAAGGGAAGCCTACAAGGTAGTTAATGAAAGTGTTTTCAACATCATGATGTTATTTGCTGGTACTTAGCAAAAGAATAACTATAAGAAAGTTATTGAAGTGTTTCTTCTTACAGACTAGATTCACTAGCAGTTGAATTCACTTTTTTTTTTTCTTTTGCAATCAGGGACTCACATTAGTGTATTATTAGGATGGATACTTATCATGAGATAATGAGGAATAATGCTTAAAATACTAGACTCAGAATCAGAAGACCTGGTTTGATGTCAGTGTTTCTTAGCTTGTTCTTCAGTTTTCTCAGGTGTACAATGCAATTTATATTTATTGTAAGTTCCTTAATAGTGTTATTGTGTTATCGAATGGTATATATCATAATGAAATTGTGCTAAATTTGTCTTGTATGAGCATAAAGATATTGCTTTGTTGTATTTGACAGAATTAGTTTTCTATCTTAGAACACATTCTAGATTTAGTATTTGCATTTAAGACAAATGTTCATTTTATCATTGGGATTTATCATAAACTATTTTTTAGAGTTACTCAAATCAACTAAATATTTGCTGGGGATATCTCCATGAATAGAACCTGATCTTTTTATTTAATTAATTACATAGGAAGTATAATATATTCACGAGATCAGTTTATAAGTCCTGTATTTTAATATAAACACTCTTGTTTTTTCTTTTAATGTTTTAATATAGATAAATCACAATGACTTCGGTTTGAATGCTGTTTTTGTTTGAATAACCTTGCAAACTATTTAAATAATCCTGAACCCTCATGTATACGTTGGAAAAAAAAAATACATCTCAACAAGTTGTTTGGAAATTATATGATTTAAATATGTAAAATTCCTAGTACTATACTTGGACTTGTAGTAGTAGCTTAATAAGTGATAGCCATTTTGTTCTGGTTGCATTTAACTGTTCATCCTAAGTGGAACAGGAATCACATTTTGTCTTTCTACTTTGTTGAAAAAAATAGCAAATTGAATCATTGACTTATTATTTCAAGGAGATTTTAAATAAGAATAACATTGTTGATGAACCATGGAATGATTATTCTTTTTTTTTTTCTTTTTTTTTTTTAAAATCAGGGCACCTAGATTTAAAGGTTTTCAACAACAAGACAGTCAGGAGCTTCTTCATTATTTGCTGGATGCTGTGAGGACAGAAGAAACAAAGGTCAGGTTCCTTAATGTTATCACATATTGCCTTTTTTTATTTTTAAAATTGTTTTTCTTTGTTCTAATTAGTTATACATGACAGTAAGTACATTTATGTACTTTGATATGTCATACATAAATGGAGTATAATTTCTCATTTTTCTGACTGTACATGTTGTATAATCACATTGGTCATGCAGTCCTATGTGTACATAAACTAATAATGTCTGTTTCATTCTACTATTCTTCCTATCCCCATACTTTCTCCCCTCTATCTAATCTAAAGTAACTATTCTTCCTGAGGGCTCTTCCTCTTGTGAATTAGCATCTGCATATCAGAAAACATTTGGCCTTTAGTTTTTTGGGGATTGGCTTATTTTGCTTAGCATGATATTCTCCAACTCTGTCCATTCACCTGCAATTGTCATAATTTCATTCTTCTTCTTTATGGCTGAGTAATATTCCATTGCGAGCACGCATGTGTGTGTGTGTGTGTGTGTGTGTGTGTGTATAAATAACATATCACATTTTTTAATTCATTCATCTGTTGAAGGGCACCTAGGTTGGTTCCATAGTTTAGCTATTGTGAGTTGAGCTGCTGTAAACATTGAAGTGGCTGCATCTCTAAAATATGTTAATGTTAAGTCCTTGGGTATAAACCTAGAATTGGAATAGCTGGGTAAAATGGGGCTCCATTCCAAGTTTTCTGAGGAATCTCCATGCTGCTTTCCATAGTGGTAGTACCAATTTGCATTCCCACCAGAAAAATGTGAGTGTACCCTTTTCTGCACATCCTAACCAACATTTTTTGTTGTTTGTATTCTTGATAATTGTCATTCTGACTGGAGTGAGATGAATCTTTGAGTAGTTTTGATTTGCATTTCTCTAATTGCAAGAGATATTGAACATTTTTTTCATATATTATTGATTGATTGTATTTCTTCTGTGAAGTGTCTGTTCAGTTCCTTAGCCTATTTATTGATTGGGTTATTTGGGGTTTTTTGGTGTTGAGTTTTTTGAGTTCTTTATCCTGGTGTGTGTGTGTGTATATATATATCTGAGGTGTACATGGTAAAGATTTTTCTCCCATTCTGAAGGTGTTCTCTTCATATTATTGATTGTTTCCTTTGAGAAGAAGCTTTTAATTTAAATTCATCCCATTTATTGATTCTTTTTTAAAAAAATATTTTATTTTTAGTTGTAGATAGACACAGTACCTTTATTTTTTTAATTTGTGTGGTGCCAAGAATTGAACCCAGTGTCTCACACATGCTAAGCAAGCGCTCTACCACTGAGCTATAGCCCCAGGCCGTTGATTGATTCTTGATTTTACTTTTTGGGCTTTAGGAATCTTGTTAAGGAAGGCAGATCCTAAGCTAACATGGTAAAGATTTGGGCCTTTTTTCTTCTATTAGGCACAGGGTCTGTGGTCTAGTGCCCAAATCTTTGATCCACTTTGAGTTTAGTTTCATGCAGGGTGAGAGGTAGGATTTCAATTTCATTTTTTTTCTTCTTCTTTTTTTTTTTTTTTTTT